AAAAAAGTAATAGTACTTAAAAAAATTTCACCAAAGTTTGGCTATGTGGACTCTATAGATTTATATTTAAAAACTAGTCTTTGAAGTTTTGCATGTTAATTTTTACTGAATTAAACTGATAAAATTAGTGAATAGATGAAATAGGTTATTAAATCATGTAGTACTAATATAAGGTACATGGAGGAAATGAAATTATATTGACTTTGACTATCACTATGATTGACTAAACAAGTTTAATATGAAAAGTCTTTACGAAAACATTTCCCACCAAATAGACTGAACATGTTTAATTTAGAGTAATTGTGAGTTCATCTTTATAAATGTTTCCGTTTTTTGAAAAGTTTTATATTAAAAAAAATAAAAAAATTATGTATTATAAAATTATTATCACTTATAAAACATATAGACTCGCTTGTACGAATCGTGGAGTACCATTAGCATGACTCTCTTCTTAATACGTTCCTATATTAGGTTCTGTACACAAGAAAGAATAATAGCCGTAATGTTTGCTTTCAGAGTTGTAAAAAAATAACATTAAGTCTGGTTGAAACAAATTGACATCACTTTCGCAATATATTAAATGCTTATTCTTGACAAAAGTTTTTTGTTATATTGTGTACAATATGAAATATTAAAATTGTACACTAAAAATTAATAATTTTAAATAAAAGAAAACAAAATGAATATTTGAAGGGCATTGGTAAAGATTTTTATCTTATATATACAAATTTATTTATTTATGTATTTGAAATTATTAGTAAATGAAATGCTCATACGATTTTAACGAATGACTGGATTTATTTTCAATGAACATTCATATTAGACTAATTTTTGAATTTGGCTGCACTGAAACTTAAGTTGTAAACATTTTTCTGAGTAAAATCTAACTCTGAAGATTTTAAGAGTATTGTCGTTGCTTCATATGTCTTTTTTTCTTAAGTTGCGAGTATTTTTTTGCTACTCTGAATGAAAACATTACGGCTAAAACAAAAGCAAGCTAAAACAAAATAATGGCTCTACAACAAGAAAACTACTGAAATTTAACAATTAAAAAAAAATATATAAATATAATTAATTAATTCAATTATTCCACAGCTAGTGTACGATTTTATTCTAATATGACACAGCAAGTGTATTTATAAATCAACTTTTAGAGCAAATTAACAAGAGTCCAAACAGCGTATATACAAGTAAAGTGTAGCTTTAGGTTAGTTGGCTTATGAACGCTGACTCTAAGTTTAAAATTGGGCAGGGTACGAGTTGGTATTTTCAGTCTCAAAAAATTACAATTACAAATAATTAAATATAAGAAACATTTCCAAGACCACTGATGATAGGTATTTGGTAATACTCGAAACAGCTGTATGGTGAATCAAAAATGCAATTAATTAAAATAATAAAACAAAGAATTTTTGTTGTTATAGTTCATTACTTTTCGAAACCTCTTTACAAAAAATTTTTTATTTTTATAAAAATAAAATTTTTATCTATTTTATAAGCTTTTATTTTATTCACATAAACTTTTATATAAAGCAATAAACACTAACAATTGTATAAGTTTGAACATGCTTAATAGTAGGTGTAAGCATTTAAATCCGCTCCACGGAGTTAATTAACTTGATTACGTCTGTTTGAAAAGACTATAAATTAAGGAACAGCGATACATCCAGGTTTATCAATAAGATATATTGACTATTCGTCAGCATATATCTAATAATTCATTCGTTAACTATGTGAAAACTAGAACGGACTTACTGGTAATTCGAGAAATATTTTATTAAATGTTTTTAAAAAGGTATTATTAAGACGCAGAAGAAATCCTTTTATTAAATTACTTCAAATTTACCAGAATATTATTGCAATAAGAATTCTAGGTGCAACATGGTATGTTAGAAAGCATGAAAGATTTAAGAATTAAATCTTTATTTATTTTCTAAAATTTAGAAAATAAATAAATAGACATTTAGACATTTATATATATATATATTTATAAATATATAGATACAGACAAATTTATATTCATAGGTTAGTAAGTCTAAATCTAAATAATTTTATTTAATTACTTCGTAATTATTATGTATGATAAATATATGTTTGATAACAGATACATTATTTTATGTCATTATATATACTAGGTACGGTCAAGTATTCTAATAGATATATATAAAACATATATTAACATTTCCATTGGTTAATAACCACTGAATTCGGGTATTGCCGATGCTGCTTTGCGTTGTCAAGGGTGTTCGAAAGGCACTATCCTCATACGTGAAGCAACGGGCGAATCAATTGAATGTGCGCGGTGGGGTGGGGTACTTGTGATGAAGTTGACATAAACAGATGGATCGTAATTTCGCTGAGAGTGCTTGAGATTTTAAACGTAAATTTTACCACTGAGCAATTTGCCGACAATATCCTTAAGGTATGGGCTGGCAACCACAGAAATGGTTACTGGCCCATGATCGTGAGAGAGTCTAGTGATTGGAGGTCTGGACACCAAATTAAATATTAGTTAAGATTAAATTGTGCTTTTTAAAAATCATATGTGCAAAAATTAATAGATTTTTCTAAAAAACAATAGTGATGGATATATGGCGATATCCGAAATAGCTGCGTGGTGAGCCTTGGAATTTGATTGCTTTGAAAAAAATTCTTGTGGAGTTGATATTTTTTTCACTATTGCCACGTTATTTTATTTATAAAATAAATTTCTTGTCATAAGACATAAAATTCTTATAACATACAATTATTAAATATTGTTTTCCAGTTTAGTTAAATGGGTTAATGTATTTCAAAGAATAATCAATATTTTATTCATAAATAAATAGATTCATTCCAAATTAGGTTTTAAGATCTTTAATATTATTTTTTTTTTTTTTTTGGGGAAAATTTATTTTTCTTATGTAGGTTGTTGAATAAAACAAATCTTAATTGGAACAGTATTTTACATCAATTTATATTTTTAATGGAAGTTGGCATTTTAATTCAGTTCGCTGTTTAGCCATTTACCTTTTGGCAACATTTCAAAAGAAATGCCAAACAAATCATAAAATGTCTCAAAATAGCAGCTGAACAATTGCTATTTGGCTTCAGATACGTTTGTCGAGTGTTGAATTGAGGCATCAAAAGTCATTCAGAATGAGATCGAGTGTTGCATTGAAGGAAAACTGCCACAAACACTTTGCATACACAATCAGCATGAAAAACCCTCACGATTGAGACTTAAGTGCAGTGCTTCTGTGCTTCTTAGAAAGGATAAAGAATGATAACTAAAAAGCTCTGAATAACAGCCACAAACTGCAAGATATGAAGTTGAAAATGTTGGCAGTGGCGTGTGGGCATAATTGAAAAGTATTGCCATCAATTCAGAGTGATTGTGTCTATAGAAAATCAATTGAAGTTGGATTCTTTCATTTTTACACAATTTTTTATTAGTTCTAAGTCCCACAAATATGCTGGAGGCAATTGCATGAAAATGATTAAAAATGGTTGAATCTATGATCGGCGCTGCAATCCTGCAATGCTGCATATTCTAGCAATGATGGAACAATCCGCAAACAATCGAAATTGTCATTGGTGTCGATAAAGAATGGAGTCCTTGTCCATGTGCTTATGCAATTGTAAGGAAAGCAGACTGTGTGCTAATCTAAGAAGGGGAGCATATGATGACCAGCCTAAAGCCGTTTCAATAATTCAGAACGGTGATTAGGACTGACAGACTTACATTCATATAATAGAAATGAATAGAAATAAAATTGTCATTGCAGTGATATGACATTTACTGCATTGACAATTTTTTTTTGTTCTCCCAATTATTAAACACTCAATTTCTTTTCTTTTCTGGTCTTGAAATAAAAAAATCGAGAAATTTCGTTGAAGTAATCTCTAATATTCCAATTCTCATTACAATTTTTTTAATTTCACAACAAGAACAACATTTATTGTTAAGATTTCATTTTTGTAATAATATTATATTATATTATCTCAATTTATCTGTCTGTCATATATATTATTTTATATTTCTTAGGCTACTGAAATCTATCACCCAGGTCCTTTAGAGTTTTTAATAAGTTATAGTGATTTAATAAGTTTAAGAATATAAATTTTTATTGTCTTATTAATTAAGATGATTAGAGCATTTTTTACGGTTAAAAATATAAATTTAATTTTTTTAATTAGGAAGATTAGAGGAGAAATGCTGACTAGACATCTTATACTCCTACTTTGGATGATCCAATAAAATTTTCCAGAGAATCAAAGATGAGAATATAAGTTTTGAAATGTACACCTAAGTTAAATACTAAATTGAAATAGTTTTAGTAATTAATTGGCACTGAAACGACACTTGATATTGAAATATATATCATAATAAATAATATCATAATAATATGTCCTTTAATCTTCGATAATCTTCAAATAACTCAAACTTTCAGGAAGTCATAACGTTGGCATGGATAGTAAACCAACTAGATGGCTTACTAGAAGCGGTTGAGGAGATTGAGTATCTGTCCTTATTTTATTACAGTCATGTCTAGTGCAATGAAAGAGCTCTCAGGATGACAGCATGAAGAAAACGATACAAAGTTGAATTTGCCGCTTCCCGATACATTTTAGACAATTTAAGAAAATGGTAAACTTGAAGGTGGAAGTGAACGAATTAGAAAGATATATATAAACATATCTATACCAGATACAAAGATATGATATGGTATCTTTGTATCTAAATATATAAATGCCTATGTATATATCTATATATAAAGATCTATTTATATATATGTCTATATATATAATATCTATATATATAAATGGTATCTTTGTATATACTAAATATAAATATATTTATATCAGATACAAAGACACCATTTCAACTAAATATAGATATATTTATACCAGATATAATAATACCATTTGCTGTCAAAACTTAATATACATGTTTACTATTTGGTATGTAATATTTGTTAATTGATCAAAAACATATTTCACTATATAATATATTATATTTAAGACAATGAATTCAACTTTTCACTTACCTGTAAATCTGGAGCTGTTCCAGGTTGTGCCAGATCGCAAGCGGATATCCACGGATTAAGACGTGTTATTGGAAACTCGCTCTCAAATATGGATCGTTTGAGCTCGGTATTTGTGTTATCTACCTTAGCAGTATGACTCAAACTGTTTGGATGTTCAGTTTCTGCAACTGCTGCAGTCTCGTCGTTGGTAACTAAATTTGCTGCATATATGTTCCCACCCCCACCCACACTATTGTCATCGGCACTATGACTATCGTCTTGCTGTTGATTTTCGTTACTTGAAAATGATCTCTCACTTCCACCGCTGCCACCACCACCTTCGGTACTACTATAATCCTCTTCGTTTATGTAACTAATTTTGTCGTTTGTTAACCTTGAAAGGCGATCAAAGGACTCTTCTGATAGAAGATCGTCCTCAGCAACTAAGGCAAATATATCGTCCTCGTCAAAGGACCTTGAGGAATCAGCTGAATGTGAAGGGAATTGTACAAGTAAACCTTCGGATGTACCTTCGCTAGTGCTACTATCGGCTACAGAGCTATCACTTAAATCGCTATCAGTTATTGTGCCACCACCGGCACGTCCTACTATATCACTGGAGCGATCGTCTTTTGAATTTGCTGTTCTTATACTACGTGCTATTCTTGTTTCTTTAGTAACACGTGAAGAGGAACCCGAGGGAGAAAGTGTTTCCGCTCTAGCACGTGGATTATCGTAATGCTGCCTTAAATGTTCTGGCAATATTAACGCATGCGGAGGATAGTTAGAATAATAAAAATTGTTATTATTAATATTATTATTATTATTATTATTATTTGTGTTTGTATTTTCGTTGGTGGAGTGAAAAGTGCGTTCGCGTTGGTGGGTGGTTGGTGTATCGGTAGGTGTTAGCACACCTCCTCCACCTAAATATGATGGAAATATCGAAGTCGAAGATATTTGTGCCTCCGAATTGGATGTTGACGTAAAGGAAGACGATGACGACGATGTTGATGATGATGATATCTTTGAACTGGTGCTGGTGCTGCCACGCCGAGCCCCCGAAATAAACGCAAGCGCCATCACGACCAGCCCGGGTCCTGGCCGCATATTGACCTCGGGTTCGGCGGTGCTAGCATGGTGCAGGCCCGCTTGAGACGCGCTTGCGACTCCAATTCAATTCAAATAATGATGGGCTCATGGCCCCATCATCATAAATATATATTTTATTTAATAGCACTGTAGGATAATAATTCCAAAATTTATTTTGCTGTAAGTATCCAACCGCTTAAATGTTTTTAAACATTTAATACATAAAACGAATTGTGCTCAATTATATTGACATGTGGGTAAATATGAGTATCGGTGGTTTTATCAGTGTAAATAAATTTGATATTTATATTTATTTATTTAAATCTGAAAATAAGAAAATACAAAAATTTTTATTAAATTATTGTAAACAATTATGTGTATTTTAAAAGTTTCAAATGCTCAAGTTTCTAAATATATCAAATGACATAAATAAATAAATATATAAAAAACTAATCATATTATAATATTATAAATAATCTTATAATAACTTTTTTCTAGTTTAATATTCTTACAATCTTATAAAATAATTCAATTAAAATAGTTTTCAACATACGAATTATTACCATTTCTAATAAAAAAAGCATGAAAGAAAAACTCTCTATATTCTATATACTTTCTATGCTAATTTTTCGAGCTAATAAGAATATTTTAGAATAACAGAATCTTCTAGACAATTAGCATTTCTTTATCCCTGAACTTATTTATTCTATTTGGTACTTATTATTAAGAGCAAATAAAGATTAATAGTAAATGTAATTTATATTTAAATAATATTATTTAATTAATTATTAATTAAAATACTATTTAAATTAATTATAAATTAACTATATAATTATAGTTTAGTTATACTTAATTAAGAATGATGTCATGCAGTTTTTGAGATATATAGTGACATCTTTGCAGAAAGTCTCGTAATCATATTGACCTAACTGGTTGAAATTTGGGTTATTGATAAGAACGCAATATTCTTTGGTTTAAGATTTACCATATAGTAGGTTGGAGTCATTTATTGGAAATCAATTAGGCGTACTAAATCTGATTTCTGGTACCGGCAGAATACGAGCAGGTAAAACTGGAGCATGATTAATGCCTTTGAATGTAAAAAGATAAGGTATTCTCCATTAGCCGAACAGAGTTGACGTTGATGGTAGGATATTTAATGGATCACTATGAACTGCGTTTTCATCTTAACAAAATGGGTCTGTCCGAAGAAATAATCGTCGACTCTACCTAGAAGCAGACGAGACTATTAGTCATATTCTCTGTGACTGCTCAGCCTTGATCTGGGCCAGGAGGAAGTAACTGGATCGAGAACTAATCTCCTTTTTTCACTTTAGGAGGTTCTTAACGGCTGACATTCTGGCTTTCATTCTAAAGGCGGAATATTTTCTGTTCGGTTAGGGTCCGTTGCAGCACAAAATATCAACTATGGTGGCGGTGCTCCGCTTCGTTGACAGCTGGTGCCCTGTTTATTTCTATTTTATTCTATTCTAATGCCTTTGTTACAATAAGTTTTTTAAACAAATAATTAAAATGTATTTATACAAAAATTAATTTAACAAGCAATAACAATTTAAGTGATATTATAGAAGTACTAATAATCTGAAAAACCAGTAAATTGTAATAAAAATTGTAGTACGGAATAAATTATATATAATAAAAAAATATATTACAAATAAAGGATATAAAATTGTGTTTTCCTTGTCCAGAATTGTACTTCGAATATAATTGTTTTTAATAGTGCAGACATGTCCAATTTTAAACATTTAATTTTTAATCAGAAATAACTTTTGGACTGATCATACTCCTCTTGGAATATCGCCAAAGAAATAAAAAGAAGTCTTCAGCGTTTATTTAATTTAGAAGAGCTCAAAAATTAAATTATTTAATATTAATTCAGTATTTAATTAATATATTATTAAGTTCTGTTTCGTACTTGAACTTAAATAGAGAAATTGTTAAAGATGTGCGTAAGGGGCGAGAATACCAGAATGTATTTCATATATATAATATGGAGGCAGCATCGCAAACATATACTCTTTAAATGCAGATTTTTAAAAACTAATTCATACTTTATGAGAATACATTTAATTGGAGCAAATACACTTAATCTAATGCAAAATGGTAAAAGTATTTTAGTTGGATTTGTTCCATGTAAACACTTCTTTGCAGTATTAGCGTGTCTTCTGTTCAAAAAGTATCCGGATTTTGTTGTTTGTTAACTACTCATTAAGTAATAGACATTTTTCAAAAATTATTTTGTTATATTGGTACATCCTTTCTTGACATATGGTATAAATTTGAGTGCCATATGTCAATTAGTTTGTTTACAGCAGCTGTTAATGTGAAACTACCTCAAGTGCATTTAGCGATTTTTACTATAGAAAATTCTTGTTGTTTTTGACCAAACACGGCACCACTGCCGTCGCTTAGGCACCATATTTGCCAGATCTGGCGCCGTGCGACTTTCTCCTGTTCCCGAAACTCAAGTTGCCCCTTCGTGGTAAGCGTTTTGAGTCGATTGAATCTGTAAAAGAGAATTCGCCAAAGGAACTAAAAGCCATACCTGCACGGGCCTACGAAAAGTATATGGAAGATTGGGTTAAGCGTTGGCATATCTGTATCGCTTCAGAACGAGCATATTTTGAAAGAGATGAAATAAATTTGGAATAAAATTTAAATATGTGTGTTTTATTTACAAAATCCGAGTACTTTTTGAGCAGAAGGTATTCTTTATTTCAAATATAATCAAAAATTATAATAAAAATGTGAAAATTATAATGAAAAAAAAAATTATAATTAAATTATAAACCTTATAATGGGCAGCAATGATTGTGATGAATTTATAGAAGCTTTCGAAATAATCTTATTATACGGTGATAACTAGATACTAAACTTTATTTAGAAACAATCATTGGTACTTTCAATTCTTATATTCATAAGGATAAATTATATTGGAACAAAGTTTTTGAAAGGTCACTCAATATATTAGTTTTTAAGAAGTTTGATGTGCAGACAATAATACATCAAAATCATTCAATTAATATATCGGGCGCTATTGAAACTCCGATCCTAACAAAGTTAAAAATTATATCATTTTATTTGAGCAAACTCAATACGTTCAATATATAAACAATTTAATAATGTTTAAAAACAATTATTTTTCTAAACATATAAGAATAGCATATAAGAATAGAGGAAGAAATAGGTACGGGTATATTATAATTATAGATCGAGCAAAATTTTCATTTTTAAATTCTGAAGAAGTAAGGCTATAAGTTTTTTAGGGCATGAGTTCAACCCTCAAAAGCTGAAAAAATTATTTGCAAATAATTAAATAACATACAAGGTTCATGTTATCTTTAACAAATATTAATCGTGAGATTATAATAGAATCTCTATGTTTTAAATAATTTTTTATCTTATCTGCAAAGATGTCATTTGAATTTTAATATATAAAAATATAACAATATGGAAAAAGATTTAAGTAGAATTTTAGATGGTTTTTATAGCGTGATATACTAAATCAATAAATATTAATATAGTAAAGGCCGTAAAAGGATATAAATCCGTGAAACGAAAATTAAGATATGTTATTACTTTGCGAAAAGACAATAGTGTTCACTGGCTATGCGAGGTGGATGATGGTATTTGTGCTTCAATCCTTCACTATATAAATAGTTACAAGCAGGTAGTGATCAAAGAGCACTGCATATGCATGGGTAAGTTTGGAAATTAAGGTTCAAGTGCTCCTTATACCATTTCAATAATTTTATACTAGATACAATACATTTTTTTTAATTAAATGTATTCAAATGAACTTGGAATAAGTTTTTAAGATTATGCCCTTGTCAAAGGTAGTAACGTCATCAATTTTGAAGAATCCTCAAAAATTAAATTTTGGTTAAAAAACAAGATGCGATTTTCAAACGATACAGTCAATTTAATTAAGTTTAGCTGTAAATAGTGAGAACAAACTGATAATGGATAGCATAATATAATTAGAAAATTAATTATAATACATATATATGATCAATAAAAACAAAGAAGAACCAAGCACTGCCATTAGATTAAAGTAGAAGACAGCAGCGACGGTGGAAGTCAGATAACCGCGGACGATGAAGCGCAAGGCTCACTCCAGAGCTAAAAAACTATCTAGCAAGGGACTTCGGCGAAGTCAACTTCTATCTGATTCAGTTTCTATTTGGCCATGGCTATTTCAACAGCTACCTCTACCGCAGTGCGAGAGTCACCAAATTGCATATACTACGAAGTTGAGGAAAACATCACAAAATACACATTCTTTGGGTGCAATAAGTGATTAGCCGAACGAAAAGTGCTAGCAGCGCAAGTAGGTGTTTTTTTCTCCAATGACGGTAACAGAAAAAATAATCGAAAACAAAACAAACTGGGAGTGCAATGCAACATTTTCCTAAAAAAAAAGTAGATCTCCACAGAAGGTATCTGGAGCAAGCAGTTGTATTAAATCAAGACGAAGTGCAAGGTTAGTTACCTGAAGTAACAACGGGGACTTGAATACGAGTTACACCGATGAAAAAATTAAAAAATATTGTAAAATAAATGAATTCTGCATATTTGATTTCTGCATTATCAAATATGAATGGAAGGTATTTTATTAATATTTCAAATAACAGATAATGTCCCCACATGTAATTGAGAAATATATATTGTTTCACTAAAATATTGCCTTAAATCAATGTCATAACTAGAAGAAAAAAATTGTTATTTTAAATAATTTATGGCACTTTCCAGACCTGACCCTTAGTATATTGGCACATAGATGAAAATAATGGTTAATATAAATAATTGCGAATAACAGTATTTTTTCACACAACGTACTTTTTAAATTAAAAGCCGGCATCCATCATGAATTAGACTACAGAAAAATTTAGCTTAATTCAAGAAGCCTAAGATGAGGTTTCAGAATAAGGACAGGAAGGACAAGAAATATATTTTAAAAATAATACAAAATAATAAAGTTTAATATTTGTTATTTA